ATGTGACTATCAAACTTGATGATACTAGACTTGTACGTCTATAGCAAAAATGATGGTACAACACGACTTGAACAGCTATAGCAAACTTGATGGTACTGTAGGATGTGACTGTATCAAACTTGATGATACTAGACGACTTGTATGTCTATAGCAAAAATGATGGTACTATAAAATTTGTACAGCTATAGCAAAATTGATGGTGCTGTAGGATGTGACTGTATCAAACTTGATGATACTAGACGACTTGTACGTCTATAGCAAAATTGATGATACTAGACGACTTGTATGTCTATAGCAAAAATGATGGTACTATCAAACTTGTACAGTCATAGCAAAATTGATGGTACTGTAGTATGTGACTGTATCAAACTTGATGATACTAGACTTGTACTTCTATATCAAAAATGATGGTACTATAAAACTTGTACAGTCATAGCAAAATTGATGGTACTGTAGGATGTGGCTGTATAAAAATTAATAGTACTGTGTGACTTATACAACAGTAGCAAAATTGTACTTCACGACTTGTATGTCTCTATAAAAATTAATTGTATTATTTGTCTTAGCAGATTGCATCAAAATGAAGAGTATTATATGACTCACATGACTTGTGCTTTATGATTTATATAATCGTATAAAAATTAGTGTTATACAACTCTTATGGCAACCTCTTATTTTAAATTTTTATGGTGTACGTCTTTTTTGAACCACCCTGTAGAGAACGTAAGCAGAATGCACCGGTAAAGTAAAATGCTTAGAAATGGGCGTCAATTTCCTTGAATCATCAAACAATTTCGTTTCACATCGAGAAGTCGAGGTAAAAGTGCGAACAGCATTGAAAACAGAGCACCAGAAAGAGAGAGAAGGATAAAGAATCATTCGATGCAACGAAAAGAGAGAAACGTATCGTTTATGTAGGCTAAAGCCTGTGCACGATCGATTTCACGAACGATCTTCCTTTGCTATATGTGTATATGTATATACGCATAAACGTGAAATCAAGGCCGTCGTTTTAATGCATCCTCTTCGATAGTCGACGGAAACTCTCGCTTCCTCCTACGAGGATCCTTTGAAAAAGTCGGTCGAACGTCGCGATAATTAAATATCCTTCGTTCTCATGGAACGTCTACCGATATACAGGCGATCAGGTATGCTTCGAGATCGTATGATTGCGACTTTTGAAAAATTGATACTGTACCTTTGTGAGTTTCTGGAAATTTGGGATTGCAAAGTGTGGTATATGGAAGTTAATTTGTAAGAATGAGAAAGGATAATTTGAGCTAAGGTGTGGTGTAGTAAGGGACTGAGACAGTGTTGTGGGAAATTGATAAATTAATAGGTTGGGCCTACTAATGAAAATTGAAAAATTCAATTCAATTTTAAAATTGAAAATTGGAAATTATTAAGGTAGATTGGAATGATAGGAAATTAAAAACTTGGAAAATTAGTGGATTGAGTAATTGAAGAATTGAAGAATTGATGAAATCGATGAAATTGAAGAATTGAAGAATTGCAGAATTGAGAAATTGGGAAATTTGGAAATTGAGAAATTGAGAAACTGAGAAATTGAGAAACTGGAAAATTGAGAAATTGAGAAACTGGAAAATTGGGAAATTGGAAAATTGGGCAATTGGGTAATTGGGAAATTAGGAAATTGGGTGATTGGATGATTAGGTGATTAGGTGATTAGGAAATTGGGAAATTGGTAAATTGGGAAATTGGGAAATTGGGAAATTGGGAAATTGGGAAATTGGGAAATTGGGAAATTGGGAAATTGGGAAATTGGGAAATTAGGAAATTGGGTGATTGGATGATTAGGTGATTAGGTGATTAGGATATTGGGAAATTGGGAAATTGGGAAATTGGGAAATTGGGAAATTGGGAAATTAGGAAATTGGATGATTGGGTGATTGGAAAATTGGGAAATTGGGAAATTGGTAAATTGGGAAATTAGGAAATTGGGTGATTGGATGATTGGGTGATTGGGTGATTAGGTGATTAGGAAATTGGGAAATTGAGAAATTGAGAAATTGAGAAATTGAGAAATTGAGAAATTGAGAAATTGAGAAATTGAGAAATTAAGGAACTGGAAAATTGGGAAATTGGGAAATTAGGAAATTGGGGGATTGGATGATTGGGTGATTAGGAAATTGGGAAATTGAGAAATTGGGAAATTGGGAAATTGGGAAATTGAGAAATTGAGAAATTGAGAAATTGAGAAATTGAGAAATTGAGAAATTGAGAAATTGAGAAATTGAGAAATTGAGAAATTGAGAAATTGAGAAATTGAGAAATTGAGAAATTGAGAAATTGAGAAATTGAGAAATTGAGAAATTGAGAAATTGAGAAATTGAGAAATTGAGAAATTGAGAAATTGAGAAATTGAGAAATTGAGAAATTGAGAAATTGAGAAATTGAGAAATTGAGAAATTGAGAAATTGAGAAATTGAGAAATTGAGAAATTGAGAAATTGAGAAATTGAGAAATTGAGAAATTGAGAAATTGAGGTAATTGGGAAATTGGGAAATTAATAAATCGAAAAATCGAAAAATCGAAAAATTGAAATTTGAAAAGTGGGAACAAAAAAAATTATGAAATTAAAGAATCACAAAATGTCGAATAGTCAAGTGCTCCCAAAAACCCGTTCAAAAGTCATCCATTCGCATCGATTTACGATCGAAGTGGCAGCGGTGTACCATAAATCTCGACCACTTGTAAATTATAACCGTTATAAAGTAATCGGTGAAGGATACAGCTCCGTTTCATTGTCTTCGACCGTAACGAGACCGTTACCACCCTCGTTTAACTCGAATTATCTTGTCTCATTAAACAAGGATCGACCAGTAACAAGGAACTGCTACTTCCGTCGATTTTACGGCGCAAGTGAACCGCAAAACGTTTTCATTTTCGTGACAGGGCTTCGTTTGTCCGTCCTTGTAAAACAGCAGGTTTTCGTTGTTCCCTTATTTTGTACCGTGAATCATCGAGTAGGTTCATTCTCCTGGACTCGGTCAGGTGACGACAACACCTCGGATGGAATTTCCAGGAAGACAAACGTTTTTCCCCCTTTCTTCATCGTCCACTTCACATTTCCGAGGACCACATGACTCAAACCTGCCTACGCGCAATCGAGTTTTTTACGATGATTTTGATAAGTTTTTATTTCTTTTCGGGACATTCCTTATTCTTTTCTTTCATCTATCACCCTATTATCAGCCTCCACTTCCCAATCGAATTAGGATCGATCCCCAGTCGTTAAACATCCGCTAAAACTTCATTAAGTTGCAAAACATAGTCGATAGAAAGGCGAAATAACGACTAAGCATCACGAACAACCGATCATTGGCGTAACTAGGATTTTTGTCTAATCCAGATCACTTAACTTCATTAACAACTACCAGACATCAAATTTGCAAATTTCCGACCTGAAAAATTAATATTCTGAAAATTGCGAGTTCTCATGTTTGGAACTTCGGGGCCCAGGAAGTTTAGGACCGTCCCCATTTTTAAGGGTTGCCCACTCCCATTTACGCCAATGGTTATACGTAGAAAATGATCCGATTCAAAGCGTCGATCGTTCGGAAGAAACGACTATAATTACACAGACTCTAGAAATCGAACTGCTCGAACGTCCAATAAAGGATAATCGAGACGGGCTACATTGTACAGTTTCCAGCGTCGTTTCACTATAATTTCTTGCTTCCGATTGCGGCGAATTGCAATTACGTAACTACCTCGTCATCTTGTGGCAGTGGAACTGCTCTTATGTTCCCTTCAAAGATGCGAACGGAGAAAAGAAACCAACGTTCGTTTATAGACATAATTATTCCATACTTTATTACACATTTGGTTGAACAGAGAGTAATGCATTTAATTGCTTCCGTGTGCAGTTAATATAAGCTTCTTCAGCGATGTTTGTAAAACTCGCATGCCGCAGGATGAACCCTGGGTACTAAAACGCCGATTGGTTAACGTGAAAGGCCTTCATACATATTTTCGGCATGAGCAAACATTCACAGCGATTGCACCAATCGGGAAAACTAGGCTTCCCGAAACTCATCTTGTGGGTTAAAATGCTATATGTAAGAAAATATGGTGCGAAAAGCGGTTTGAAAGTAGAGAAACAAGTTCTGAGTTTGGCGTAATTAGGTGTGATAGGGAAGTGCTTAGTTCCGTCGTTCATGGATGCTGTTACAGCGAAGTCAATGAGTCAAAATTACGAGGAAATGTTTGTGGTTTCACGATATAGAGTTTCAAAGCATCTTCGCATCCTTGGTATAGGAAAATGCACTACAATGGACGCGAAGATCAAAAGAGGTTATCTCTGGCTTCTGCGAGAATGGAAGTAACAGAGGTAAGCATTGTACTCCATCTTTTCTATAAGGGAATTCGATCAGACCGTAATAGACACCAAGGACTTTATTCTTGATACAAGGATCAGACAGTTCCTAAGCGGTAATCTCTTCACCCTGGTCAAAACATGGAACCTACATCTCAAGTATCTTTAGAAATGCATCATGTATGCTGATGACAAGATGAGATCTCAGAGACATTTTGGTTATTTCCGATGTGGACGACCGGTACCAAGTGTTCTCCAAAGCAAGAATATTTCACTTCAAGCAATCTTTCTAGTCTCCCATGTGAATTTTTTCTAGTCTCCCATGTGTCGAAGTCGTGCAGAAATGTACGATAGGATCGAGATGATGGAAGAGGCCGTTTATCCAGAAGTCCCAGAATCCCGGTGAACTCGAGCGAGGTCTCACGTGGACGTTGTCGCGTCTGGTCTTGCCGAAGAGAAGAAGGACGCTGAGTAGCCGGATTAACGGGAGAATCGAGTGGTCCGCCTCACCTCAGGGAGGACCAGGAGGCCGGAGGACAGCGAAGAAGGCGGCGGTGTGTTAGGTGGCGGTGCAAAGAGGCGAGGAGAGCGGTGTAACGAAGGAGGTTGTCTCGGAGGGGGAGCTCGAAGAAAGAGGAGGAAAAGGGGGAGGGGAGAAACACGCTCTCCTCCGGTGCACACTCTCGTGGTGACTCGAACCGGCAAAGTGCTCGCGTTCGTGAAAGTCCACAGACGACTTTCAGGGTCGTCTGCTCCGCTCGAAGCCGGCTTCGTCTCGCGAAAAGGAGCCACCGAAAGGGATATCCGAAGTACTGTTGTCCGAAAGAGCCTCGAGAGGAGAAGCCGCTCGCAGAGATCCTCTCTCTCGTCGATTCACTCTGAACGCGAATCGATGAGATCGAGCCGCGACGCGCGTCCACCTTTCTGTCGGTCCTGTCGGTCGTTTTCGAGCTGGAACGTCGAAACGCGTCGTCGAGTTCCTTGACACCGGCCAATGTCGCTTGAATCCAGTCCGCTCGAGACAGCTTCGATACTGTGACTTCCGTCGGGTGATTGCGTGCGTGACAAACTGCGATCGAGAGCCGAAAAGTGACCACGGTGAGAGAGTGTGCACGGACGCAAAATGTCTCGTCTTCGCGGCACGTCGACCAACGACTCGTACCACAAGGACCAGGAGGAGCAGCGCGCGAAGTCCTGCAAGAACGGCTCGAATCGTTATCACTTTGGCATGCAGCGGGACGAGGAGAGGAACGCCCGCAACCACGAGGACCCAGACTTGCTGTACAAAAAGAGCAAGCAACACTTCGGTGCCTGGGACATCAAGGACATCGTCCAGGACGAGAGCCACAGGAGGAAGCCGAACGACAGACTCGAGGATCCTCGATTAACGAACGGCCGTTCGAGGAACGACTTGGCCAGGCAGGATCGTTACGAGGACGAAGTCGCGTCGCGAGACGATCGTGCCAGAACTGGATCCATCGATCGTGATCAGACTGGATCGTACAGATCGAGGAAGAAGGACGGTTGGGATAATTCTCGATCGAGAAACGACTGCAACGACGAGTCCCAGAGGAACGACGAGAGAGATTTGCTGTTGAAGGAGATCGAGAGTTTAGCGGTGGACGGAAGATCGCCGGATCGAAGGATCAGGGCGATGATCGAGCGATTCAAGTGTCGCGAGGAGGACAAATTGAAGGCTAGAATGGATCACGATGCACACAGTCCAGACAGGGAGGACTATCGATCGAAAAGCGGCCTAGAGGATCGTAACAAAATCAGGATCCAGAAGGACGACCGGGAGGAGGATCGAAGGACTAGACCCAGGACTCGAGAACCCGAGAAGTTCGATCACGAGGAGAACAGAGGTCGGTCCATCGATCGGAGGGCGGACAAATTCAACGAGAACCATCAGAGACGGTCCAAGGATGCGGAGGAGGATCATCCTCGAGCCAGAAGGAGCTACGCTTACGAAGGAAACCCTGAAGACTTCGACGTGCGAATACAGCGATACGAGAGAGCGAACGTGGAGCCTAAAAGAGTGTCATTAAAGGACTCGGAGGTGGATCGAAAGGAGTCGTTCAAGGATCACGATCGACAGGTGACCAGGAAAAGCTCCTTCAAGTCCGACCTGAAAAAGAGTCACTCCAGAGACAGAGAGTCTGGTAGAAAAACATCCTTTAAAGAACAAGAAAACGACGTATACAGAAAGAACTCCTTCAAAAGCCCGGACAACGAGAAGAAGTTTTTCGACAAAAATCCCGAACACGTGTCCAGGAAGAGTTCGTTCAAGGACCAGGTCCAGGAACCTGCAAGAAAGAATTCCTTGAAGGACTCCGATTATGGCAGGATCTCGAAAAGCCGAACCGACGAGGACGACAGAAAACGCTCGTTCAAATCTGACGGAGTTAGTAGGATCACCTTCAAGGAACAGGACGCTGAGTCGGCCAGATTCCAGCCGTGCAAGGAGCAGGATGGTTTCAAGGATCGTTCAGGCGAGTTGGCTCGCAAGAACTCGTTGAAAGAGAAAACGGTGGAGTTTGCCGGGATCTCTTACAAGGATCACGACGACGAGTCGAGCAAGGTGTCCCTCCGAAGGCACTCGCCCAACGGCCGATACGTCGAGTTCGGCACGGTGTCTTATCAGGACGAGGAGGAGGATCCTGCGAACGATCGAGATTGCGATCTGGAGAGGAGCTACAAAGACCCGTCGAAAAAACGATCGTCCTCCAGGAACAAGAGCCACGAGATGGAGAAAAGGACGGGCAGACATTGCAGACCTCTTACACCGCCCAAACGAGACGACTCGAAGGATCGAGAGGACTTTAACTCGAAATGCTGGCACGAGAGCAATCGCATCTTCGCGACCAAGTACCTTCGGGAGAACAGCAAGTATCGCGCGAATCCTGATGGTCGCTCGGAGATCGAACGAGACCCTTCGCCGGAAATGTACGAGGAGGACGCTCAGAGGCGGGAACAACGCTGCACGAAAATGGAGGCGTATAATTTCGGCGACGATCGTCCACGAGACGTGGATACCAGAAACGGAGCGACCATCATCAGAATCAGATCGAGTCCCGAAACGACCATCGAGAGGAGACGTAGACGTCGTCCTGTGCAGGATGCGTACGGCGGTCGACGAAGACGCTACGAAGTGGAGGACGAGGACACCGACGAAGAGGAGGAGGATAGACAGAGATCTAGAGCCGATGAGTTGACCAGAGGGGTCTCTACACCCTCGAGAAGGGTCTGGAATTATCGTGAAGGGGTATGGCATTTTCATGAGTCGATCGCGTTCGATCGGTCCTTTATGGTTCAGAAGCGGGAAGCGATATTCATTAATCGGTGGAGAAGATGAACACTGTCGAGAAGTAATTACCTGTTCAAGCTGTGAGAGAGGAGATTTATTTTTTATTTTTTTCCGCGATTTTTGTCGCTGCTAATCTATCTTACTGCAACCAGGGGTATTGTGCAGGACACTCGAGGGTGTCTAGTTTTCAATTTGGAACACTTTGAAATTTTTTAAATTTACTGAACATTTTTATTTCTCTAAATTTTTAAATGATCAAATTTCTGAATTTGGAGTGCAAGATTATCTAGCAGCAATGTCTTGAAAAGCTGTGTTCTTATAAAAGTATAGTACTTGAAACAGAGACGGTTTAGGGTACTCTCGAAGTGTTGAAATGTTGAACAAATACAACATGCACATTCTTAACTCTTCCTACACTTAATTTTTTTTGTGAATAAAACAATTGTGTTCACACAAGTTTGTTAAAGAGATCACTTGCAAGTTTCAGAATTTTCAAAGAACTATTTATAAAACTGATTGTACAAATCAGTGATTTGAAATGGAATGACAGAAGTAGAAAGAGTTAATATTCCAACGCCTACTTATTAAAATAAAACAGATTAGAACGTCAGTAAACCTGAATACCGATGTTAACGCTTTGAATCGGAAAATTGACAACTTACGTGGCATACTTTTTAGCCGATGGCGTGACGATTATCGCATGTTGCAAACGAATTCTTTTATTCGAGTTTGACCGCACGTTTTTTTTTCGACATCCTGTGGAGAATCGGGAGAGCTCGTTCGAGTATGAAGCCGAGTGAAAGCAATTATGAGAGTAATTACCATTTTAGGATTATCAGATGCAGTATATAAGTAAATGTAGAAAGTTCTTGATTAAATTGATAGTTGACGATAGTGAAATCTTTTAATTTCAATCCAACCCTATTGTCACCAATGCAAAACAATTAACCTTGCTGAATCGTTACCGCAGAACGGTTTAACCTCGTCCGAATCGCGGTTCAAATCGAAGAGAAAGCGAGCGTTCCGCTTGTTAAAGCGTCGACGACTAATCTTACAATTAATACGCTCGGTCGGTTGGTCCTTTCTTATGAAACGGCAATCAAATTTTTAACTTTCTCGTGGTAAACCGTTCCAACTCGCGGTTCCAGTTTTAGTCCCGCGAAATTGCCTCGAGAGAAAATTGCGCGTGGTTTTTTTTTTCGTTCATATTTTTTCCTCCGCAACGCGACAAGAAATTTATTGGACCGTTCGTCGGGTCTCTGTCATCGAGAGACGGCTTAACGCAAGTTTTCAATGTCCTTACGTAATTTCCAGCGTGTATTGGCCAACAACGCGTCATGGAAATGTCAGCGAACCGCCCACAAATGGAATGGTCGCGTGTAGGACACGTACCGAGCCATAGGATCACATCTTTCTTTCCTTCGTGCTCGACGTAAAAATTTCCTCAGCCTTTGTCCGCGGGCTCGTCGATCATCGTCGATGGATAAAGTCAGTTAACCCGTTTATACCCGTCGCCTCTCATTTCGGTCATTAAAATTTCGAAAGTCCAAAGTTGCAGTTTTCAAAGCTTTTCCTCAGTGTATTCCACATTGACATTAGAAACCTTTCCATATCGGTATGCAAATTCTTCGTGAGAAATAAGACAGTCGTACACGCGGCCATTAAAGCGTTAATAATGCGAGTAGTCTCTCATTCGCGTCGAGATGCTTATTAAAACGTTAAGGTGCAAGCTCGAGCACATAAATTTGGCGGAAAGGTGCACGATCTGCGGGCAACGTTCAGCCGGTTGAGCGAGATAGGAAGAAAAAGAAGTTAAATGGTCCTTTCACTCGTGAGTCAGGACGAAAAATATGTTAATTAGACGAGACGCGGTTCTCCCGGGGTTCATTATTCAGCATTACTATATATAGACAGCTAGAGACACATCGGCTCACATATTTCCCGCGTCTACTCGATATTTGGCGATGCCGATGCCGCGACCTGTTCCACGTGGGCGGACCGACCATATATGCCGGCCGGAAGGTTCTTGAACGCATCCAACGCGTTTCGAGCTTTCCATCCTTGCTATTTCGCTTTTATCTTTGGAAACTGTTTCCGAGTTCTGTCGATAACGAACCTTCCATGATAGCTGAACGGCCTTAACATCTGCTCCAGATTTTTATTTCGTTCTTCTTCTTATTTTTATATCTGATTATCATTACTTTGTTAGAGGTTTTTATGAGTGGTTTTATAACTACATTTTTGTTATTAATTCTTTGATGAATATTTTGGATAATGTTGCACTTAATTGAAGATCAATGTCACATGATCGTTACTTCAAAGAAAAATCAATATTTTCATATATTCATATGTTCAGTATCACATGATCATTACTTCTTAGAAGACTTAATAGGCTCATATGTGCATATGTCCACATGTTGATATGTTCATATGTTTATGTGTTTAATATCATATGATTGTTACTTCATAGCAGAATCAATGTGTTCATATGTGCATATGTTTATGTGTGCATATGTTCATATGTTCATATATTCATATGTTGATATGCTCATATGTTCATATATTCGTATGTTCATGTGTGCATATATTCATATGCTCATATGTTCATATATTTATATGTTGATAAGTTCATATGTTAATATGCTCATATGTTCACATATTCATATGTTCATATGTGCATATGTTATGTGTGTATATGTTCATATATTCATATGTTAATATGTTCATATGTCGATGTACTCATATGTTCACATATTCATATGTTCATATGTGCATATGTTATGTGTGTATATGTTCATATATTCATATGTTAATATGTTCATATGTTGATGTGCTCATATGTTCACATATTCATATGTTCATATGTGCGTATGTGCATATGTGCATATGTTCATACATATATATGTTCATAAAAAAACATCTATTCTTAAAAGACCACAATCTGACCAATAAATCATTCACCTCAGAGTATCAATTATTAAGTCAGCTTCTAACAAATATAGCCACAAAGAAACAGCAATACCTGTCTGTTCATACAAAGTACCTAATACCTAACTGATCGAGTGCCTAACCAAACAAATACCTCCGGTGATATTTTATTCTAATAACTATCAATCCAGTTGACCCAACGATGACTGGGCAGGGGTTGAAACAAGAGTCCACAGTTGAGCAACATTCGACAAGTATTAATTGCAAAACGATGAAAGGTTTGGATCATCTTCGCAAATGTCAGTCGCCGAGGGCGGCGTATCTCAATTCGATCTATCGAATAAGTCACTGTACAAGTGATTTCTGGAAAAGAGAAGAAAAATGCGTCATTCTTCGCCGCGATCATGACGCACTGGTAATTACGTGCGAAGCGGGACAAGGTCGTAGCGTGAGTCTGTAATTGGGAAAAGTTTTTAATTGTGCGCCTCTTCGTCGCACCGATGTTTGCCAGCGTCTAGCATCAATCTTCTTCCCGACATCGATCGTTCGCCCGGAAAATAAATCATTCTTTCAGAAGTGTTTCAACGTCGTTTGAAACAATCGGAGACACGCGATAACGCGGAGATACACGTTGCGTCACGTGAAAATAGAAAACAATTGCAATTATAGCTTCGTGTGGACATTTTTATAATGACGTTCTTTTGTGAGCATATCTTTTGTTAGGAACTTTTTCTGTGCGATTTCTCGGTCAAAAGCTATAATCGCAGTAAGGTCGTTAATAAGAAAATGTATCAGGAAGTGCATAATTATAGATGTGTTTTTTTTTGTAGGGTGTTCTGATCACGGACGTCGAAGAGGGGCAACCTTGTTTGCAATGTGGGGAGACGTGTTCAGGATTTTCGCCACACACGTGGAGGTAAGTCATTTCTGAGACATTTCATATGCTGTTTAATTGTACGATCGACACAAGGAGCTCTAGGAAAATTGATACATATCAAACTTTAGGAATTTGATTCCTCCATTAGAAAATTTGGGGTGTGGAAAATTTATAAACATGCAAATGTGAAAAGTAGAGAATGCAAAACTCATTAAGTCTACATAAGTTATCCAACAGAAATCAACCTTACAAACATTAAACATCTCCGTATGAAAGTATCCAAAGCAATTAACATTCCTCAAAAGATTACGTTCTCTGAACACGCAGTGTCCACTCGCAACACGGTCCATTTTCACTTCCTTTCAAGATAACGAGGGGAAAATTGGCTTCCGTAAAACACGAGGAAGATTAATAAGCAAACTTGTAACGCTGACATACTTCAGTGTCAGAGTGTTCGATTTTCTCACGTTTGTTAATCCGCTTCGTATGATCGATGAACCTTATCGCTTCTCAATTAGCCGGTGCTCGTCTAATGCGTTCTATCGATCGGTTGCCTCTTCTAATCGGCATATCGGGTTGCTATCCTGGAATAATTATCCTGTTCCATTAACTCGAAGGACAGGATACGCGTAATTCTGCGGCACGTTGATTATCGATCAAAGCTGCTCCCTTTTAAATAAAAGTGAAAAGGTGTACACAGGAAATTCGGTGTATATACAAATTATGCTAAGATAGTACACAAACAGTATACAAATGTTCACATATTCATATGTTCATATGTGCATATGTGCATATGTTCATATGTTCATATGTGGATATGTGAATATGTGCATATGTTCATATGTGAATATGTGAATATGTTCATATGTTCATATATGAATATGTTCATATATTCACATGTTCATATGTTCATATGTTCATATGTTCATATGTTCATATGTTCATATGTTCATATGTTCATATGTGGATATGTGGATATGTTCATATGTTCATATGTTCATATGTGGATATGTTCATATGTGGATATGTTCGTATGTGCATATGTTCATATATGCATATGTTCATATATACATATGTTCATCATGTGTGCAATGCAAAATTTTCTACATATGTTAGATATGCAAGATATGAATATGTTTAGATATATGCAAAAATAGCTTAAAGTGCATACATCTTTCTTAGAATATATTCAGTTATTTCAAATTTTCATATCAAATTCATTAAGCAATCTTCTTCAAATTTTTTTAAAAAAGAATTTGAAACTTCAAAAATATTTTTAAAACTATTCCACATTGTGTGGCGTTCTTAAGTTAATGCTCGTCAGCTAATGCTCGCCAGATCACATTGATGTCGATTTGTGTAAATAGATTTCTAAAATCCTGAATAATACAAGCAATAAGAAATTTTTTAAAGACACAATAGAGAATAAACAATCGCGTCGGTAGACAAAGAACTCGACAATCGAGCGGAAAATGTACGTGTCTAATCGGCGAGACAAAATCGTGTTGGAACCGTTGTTGCACGCCGTGTCCATTATCCGAGGCGTAACTGAGCAGCGGTGAAATTACCGGTAGCTAATTATCTTCGGTGACTTACGAGCCAGCAATGCGGTAACGACGAATTAATTGATCGGTCAGCCTGATACCTTCAGCGCCATGACAGTGATGAGAGAACGTTCAACTCTGAGATTTAGTTACAATAAATATATTTGTGATATTGACTACTGATTGTCGGAATTGATTACGTATACAGAGTTACGTGTGTAGAATTAGAAACAGAGTGGTTGATATGTAAAGATCAAAGAAATTATTTCTCCGGGTGGCAGTCTTTCCCCGTCGAATCTCGTTAAGTTAGAAAAACAAGGCCGTTTCAAAAATAAATCGTTGACATGTTTGTTCCTCGTTCAACTGGTTCTCGGTGGATTTCGATAATTAATTCAACTCGAGTTTTCCTGTGCTTCGACTTTTATTTCTACTCGTAAACCGTGTAATTTGAAATGAATTTTACGGCGCTACAGTTGTGACACGTGGTGTATTAAACCGTCGTCTTACTTTTAACTTTATAACACCTTGTATCCGAGTCGTAACGAGTTCGTTTCGCCCACACGCGGACGTCGGTAATTGACGCAATAAAAGCGTGCACCGATCGAGTATTTTCGACTGTCATTGGTCTCGTCAGCAAACAAGTATAAACTTTTGATTTACGACTGTTCGTTTTGCCAATAGGTTTAACCGGGTAATCTACTCGTTCGGCTATTTATCTCCGTTTGAAGCGGTGCACCACGTGTCTCTGTATTTATAGGCTTCCCGGTTGCCAAACAGCGACGGAAGTGGACCGATTAGGGGAATCTTCGGTTCGCCACGGGCTTAATTTGTGACTACGTTTTACGACTAGGTTGGTGCCGTTTCCTCGTTAAATTGCGCCGACTTTGCATACTTTATGACCGTATCGCGTTTTGAACGAGCCACATCGCTAACATGTGGCTCTACTTACGCGCGTTTACTGCTTCCTAAACATCGAGCATTCTGTTGCATGAACAACATATGTATTTCTGGAGTAGAACATGAGCTTAGGACTGGATAATTATATACAACATGGTTTTGGTACATTATCTTAGGTTAGGTTGGGTTTGGTTGGGTATGTATGTGGTTAAAGTTAGATTAGATTTATTTATATTAAGTAATTGTTAGGTTTACTCGTACTAGGTTAGGTTAAGATTAGTTTAAGTTAGGTTTGGTTAGTATACTCTATACTTAAGGTTAGGTTGAATTTATTTTCATTATGATATGTGTAGTGCTATTAGTATATGGATGGGTTAGATTTACCTATGTTAAGTAATAAGTTAGGTTAGGTTAGGTTATTTTGATAGATCAAGGTTAGATTGGATTAAGGTTCTCAAACTAGGGTTAGGTTAGGTTATTTTTATGTATGTATGTGGTTAAAGTTAGATTAGATTTATTTATATTAGGTAATTGTTAGGTCTACTCGTACTAGGTTAGGTTAAGACTAGTTTAGGTTAGGTTTGGTTAGTATACTCTATACTTAAGGTTAGGTTTAATTTACTTTCATTAAGATATGTGTAGTGCTATTAGTATATGGATGGGTTAGATTTACTTATGTTAAGTAGTAAGTTAGGTTAGGTTAGGTTATTTTGCTAGATCAAAGTTAGATTGGATTAAGGTTTTCAAACTAGGGTTAGGTTAGGTTATTTTGCTAGATCAAGGTTAGATTGGATTAAGGTTCTTAAACAAGGGTTAGGTTAGGTTATTTTGTTAGATCAAGGTTAGATTGGATTAAGGTTCTCAAACTAGGGTTAGGTTAGGTTATTTTGCTAGATCAAGGTTAGATTGGATTAAGGTTCTCAAACTAGAGTTAGGTTAGGTTATTTTGCTAAATCAAGGTTAGATTGGATTAAGGTTCTCAAACTAAGGTTAGGTTAAATTTACACATATTGAATTACTGTCACTTATGATTAATCGAATAACAACAATGTCAAACACGATCTAAGAATTCGGATAATTGTCAAAACAATCTTTAAATCTCTCGATGCGTTTGCAAGGTGATTTCACACATAATTGCCCAGATGTAACGCGTTAGACTCGGTGGTAGGTGCAATCGATAATCGTACACAGCAGATTCGAGTGGTATCGCAAAGAGGAGCGTAAAACCGGTAGCCGTGGCTCCCCGGGACGATCGGGCAGGCAATCGCTCGAAACTCGAGTCACGCAGACTCCCGACACACCGACGCCGCTCCGCTCCACTCCGCTCCGGTCCGCTCGCGCGTCCTCGCGCACCGCAAACCCATTCGTGAGTCATTCCCGCTGGCACTCGCTTGCATCGCGGCGTACACGCTCGCTACACCTTCTGGCGACTCGGAACACGCCGCGCGTGCACGTGCTTCACGCAATATGCGCCAGTACAGGGCTGGCGAGCAACGAGCTAGTTTCTTCTCGCCTTTTCTCAGCCGCGTATCAGCCTCGCGTATTCTTGGCACCTGTCTCGACCACCGAACACGACATCAGTCCTCGTAGCTCGTGGCTACGCGTGTCCTTTGCTTGATTCCGGGGTCGTTTCTGTGCGTGTCACGATTCTAACGAGTCCTAAGCTGTTCAAGTGCGCCGGGGTGCTTGGTGCGTGTATCTACCTGTTGCACCGATGCTGCAAGTGTGCGAGAAACCGTGCTGATTTAATTAGGTTTACTGTGTCAGTTTATCTGGATGAGGTTCTATTTGGGTTTCTAAAAATTGATAGGCTGTTCAATTTTTTTGAGAAACTTTGTAGACAAATTATTGGGAGGACGTAAGCTTTGATGAGCTTGTTTTATATTGGAATATTTTTGGGAGACTTGTTTGTGGTATATACACCTGTTTACAGTATACTTGTACGCATAATTTATAGTATACTTAGTTACTTATTTGGAGTGTACCTACACACATGTTTATAGTGTATTTACACATAATATTTGCAATATGCTTACACATAATATTTGCAATATACTTACACACGTATGTATAGTGTACTTGCACATGCATACCTTCCACATACGTATATTTACAGTCATATATTTATACTCAACATTTATAGTATACTTACACATAATGTTTGCAATATATTTACACATAATATTTGCAGTATACTTACACACATATGTAAAGTGTACTTGCATACCTTCCACATACGTATATTTACAGTCATACATTTATACTCAACATTTATAGTATACTTATTTACAGTATATCTATACACATATTACAGAACATTTATATACTTATTTTCAGTATAGTTATACAGTATAGTGATACATATGCATACTTATACAGTATGTGGTAAGAATGTTCACTGTTTTGTTTCAATGATAATCAACATATGCAGCAAGACACTAAAGTTCAAATTAATACAGTGACTAGTATAATGATCACCGGTGCCTGACGCTACGAATTCATTTAAATTAATTACCTACAATAACAACTCGAGTAATAAACTTTTGGTTTCTTTCAATAACGACGTTCTCACGCGTGTCTGATCGCATACGTCCGTTT